ATCAGATTCATATCAAAATTAATCCCACCATAATAGCATGCCTCAACAAAGAGTGTAATAAATTTTCAAGCATCCGCTATGAATAGCTAATGAGAAAACTGTGACATAGATTTGTTATGAAACGGACAAACACACAGACAAACAGGAAGTTGATATCCAATTTGAGTGAAAATGTATCCCACCATATGGCATGCCTCAGAGAAGATTTTGCTAAAATTTCAAGCATCTACGATGGGTAGTTGCTGAGAAAACTGCGACGAAAATTTGTTATGTATGAAACGGAGAGACGCACAGACAAACAGGAAGTTGACATCAGATTTGAGTGAAAATGTATCCCACCATATGGCATGCCTCAGAGAAGATTGTGTTAAAATTTCAAGCATCTACGATGAGTAGTTGCTGAGAAAACTGCGACGAAAATTTGTTATGTATGAAACGGAGAGACGCACAGACAAACAGGAAGTTGACATCGGATTTGAGTGAAAATGTATCCCACCATATGGCATGCCTCATAGAAGATTGTGTTAAAATTTCAAGCATCTACGATGAGTAGTTGCTGAGAAAACTGCGACGAAAATTTGTTACGGACGGACACACAGACACACGGACAGACAGACAGACAGACACACAAGGGTAAAACAGTATACCCCCCTCTCCTTCGGAGCGGGGGTATAATTACATACCCCATCCTCCAAAGGGTGTTCAAAGCAGCAACTATCATTTGAAAACACATCAACCTTTATGATGAAAAAAATTATATTAATATGTAACATATTAAACTCTGCATCAATTGAAAATTCAATGATCCATGTTTACCAGTCAGGGGTGAGACTGACAATCATCATTTTTAAAAATGATGATTTCTAGTCATAAACCTGAGTTTTAAGAATGACTTAAATTCATCATTGAATTATTTCATCTGTTTTTGTTAGGTCTGGGCGCACTTAATTATCTCGTTAGTTTTACAGCACACTAATTCATTTTGGTTTCAGTTGTTTGTGAAGATGTTTCGAATATCTCTACACGTGGGTCCATGTCAGGATAGTGTACTTATCTTATTACTATAAATAGTAAATGGGTTGAAAAAATTTACTTGGGAATGGAAATATGATGAAAACAGTTTAAGTCATATTTACAAAAATATTAAAAATAGGTTCATTATGTAGTTAGAAGAAAGACAGATTTCAGTCTCACCCCTGACTGTTTACATTTGTTTTAGATTTTAAAATGTAAATAACTGTAAAATAAAATGTGTTGTGTAAATACTAAATCAAAATGTTATAAAATGATGCAATACATTATTATTGTGAATATTACATTGGTATTTATGATAAACAGAAAAAAGCACATGTACTATGCACTACATATGGTATAGCTGTTTTCTGTTGCTGTGTATGATTAAAAAAAAAACATGTAGAATACTGATTGAAAAAAAAACAGAAAACAAAAAAAACCATACCATATCTGGAAAAGTCTCCAAGTCATTAGAGATTTGTGATCTGCATGCTTTGCAAATTGCTAAAATAAAAAAGGCAAAATAAACAATTGTAAATTCATTAAAATGATAAATCTATCATACATTTATGATTAGGCCCCCTAAATTAAAATATTTTATATCTATTAGGAATTAAAAAAAAAAATTAAAATTTATATAAACAAAACAAGTCAATTTCAAGTTCTACATTTATTCTTTGCCTTTGGGAACTACTCAGCTATAGGACAAATCAATTTAACAAATTGCAACATCAAGAAACACACGCATACACATAACATCATTATACAAAACTGAACAAAGATAAAATACTTATATGTACATGTAAGACCAATGGCTAATTATGTTGAATTGCACCTACAATATGTAAATTGTGGCGATATGTAACTGGCCAATGGCCTTAAAAATGTTGGTAGACCGATGGCCTGGTATTCTGAAGGTCGATGACCTTCATGTGTGAGGCCGATGGCCTCGTGAATAGTTTGGCCGATGGCCTTGAACTTGAGTGGCCGATGGCCTTGGTGAATTAAGTGGCCGATGGCCTTGAACTTAAGAGGCCGATGGCCTTGGTGAATAACATGGCCGATGGCCTGTAAATCTTGAAGGCCGATGGCCTTGTGGTAGAGGCCGATGGCCTATATGCGTGTGTGTCTAGGCCGATGGCCTTGCATATGTATGTAAAGTTCTAGTGAGTTTTCTTTTGGGGGAAAATAACACATGTTAATGTGTTAAATGCCCAAACGAAGGTATTACAAATATTGTGCTGTTGAACAAATTGTAATAGCTGAGAGCCCCAAAAGGAAAGAAAAGGATTAATAACCACCATCCTTAATTTGATAATCGAACCCAATCATATCATTAATGAGCAGTTGAAATACATGCACCTATCTATTGACAATGAATCTAAGCATGTTTACCATTAAGTATATTTAGGTTCTGGAAATTTAACTTACATAAATAATTTGTTTTCTTGCTATCTTCATAATCTTGCTTTATACATGATGTGTTATCTACTAAATAGTTAAGATTATAATAATATCCTTGAAAAATTTAGTTAAGAAGTCCAAAATATTACAGTATCTAATATTTCATTCCGGGAATTGCCGCGATGCTGACTTGGAGAATGATGGCGCTAAACTGTAGGCCTATCTGATTGGTTAACTAAGTCACGTGATGTAAATATGATACTCTGGGTAATTACTATTTATATAAACAATATTTAATTACATTAAAATCATTTACTTAGATATCAAACACATGAATAAGTATAACAATAAACTCCATAACTAGTGAATAAAATCATGGGGAATGCAAACTTACCTGATCCTATATGCAGAAAAATCCCTCGCCGAGAAACTAAAGCATAACTTGTTCTCAGTGAGATAGGCCTATCACCTTTGCACTTTCCTGTGTGTCCCGGGAAGACACAGGATGTTTTTCTCTTCCAATTTAATCCCAAAGAGCTGCGGTGATAGGGACAGACGGTGAAATATGGAATGAGACAGAAAATACCAACTCGTACACAAATCAACAGTCCTTCTGTCATGTACTTCTCATCATAAGAAATATTCAAAAACCGCAAATGGCCCGAAACTGATCTATTACAATCTTTCAAGTAGACTAACTCTGCACTATCCGGTGAAAATTGGCATGGAGTGTCAGTAAACAAGGAAAGACTGCAGATATGTGTCGTCTGTCTTCGTCTGCCATATTGTTTCTGCTGCTATTGTAACTTCAACGCTGAAGAGTTCCACAAAGGGGGGTAATTTGGGATAAACATACACAGTTTTATTACCCTTCTTTACAAAGAGATGCATGGGTTTCCAAATAATCCATTTCGATAATAAAACACATAAAACCACAAATATTAAGATTTTTAATACCAAACATATGGGTTTAACTGGTAATAGAATATTTTAAAATTTTTAATTTGCATAGATTACATAGGAAATCTGATATTGCTATCCATGTAATAAAAAGTCCAAATTTAAAGTAAATAAACAAAAACAAAAGGTATATTTGGTTTAAATGAATTTGAAGCATCCTTTTGCTAAAAATTAGTTACTTTTTAAATTAATTTTTAATTTTGAGTATGCCACCTATATTGAATTTTGCATGATTCTTACGGAGACCGCTACTTAAAGCTTAAGCACCCCACCCCACCCCCAACCCGGCCTAGGAGGCGGTGTACCCACCAAATTATTGTTTTTTTTTTTAATATTGACATCAAGCTGGACTGGAGGAATGGAGAAGAATAAATTGATGTTAACTTACTCGACATTAAGTTTGGCTTTAATCTGAATATGTCTTTTGTTGTGATTTCTTATAGAGCAATTAGGATAAGGAATTTTGAGGCGAAGGATAACCAGAAAGTGGATCATTCAACAAATGAAAGACAATAAGCCTTTGTGAAAAATTGTCAAATGCAGGAATTGAATATTTTTAAATTGCACATAATTTTTGTTTCACCCATGTTTACAATCTATGAAAACATGTTCAAAACATGTGCTTAAACATTTATCATATGAGTAGTGCAAATAACAAACATGAAACACAGGTTATGAGAAACATACGTTACACACACGTTGCACGTACGTCATTCATAAATGTAACATGTATGAATAACGTAATTGTGCAACGTACATGTATGTTTGTCAACACCTACGTTTAACAAACATGACACGCATGATATCCATATGTATGAAAGCTTACCTTTATCGTATGTGGTGCTTCTTTCATGTAATGCGTACGTGAAATCACGAACGTATCAAATATGGTTAACGTACGTGGCACATTTTGCTGTGTTTTTAATACTTTTTAAATACACCAATATCTGTGTATGTCAGCTTAAAACAATCCTAAAATATTGTATATTGTAGTACTTATCTGGACTTAAGCGATTTGTATTCCACGGAAAGAAGCTATTTTCTCATGCCTTTATATTTTTTAAGAAAGAAGAAATAATGGACACAATGAATAATACATGCTTTTTTAAATACATTATACAAAATTAACTTTCAAATATGAAGTTTTAGCATTGACGTAATATTTCTTGATTACTAAAATGACAAGTATTCTTTATACAATTGTAATAATATGTAAAATCAATGCTGTTCAAAAATGAAGAAAAAGAGTAAAGAATTTCTATAATTAAGTACATGTATATGAATTAAAAACAAAATAAAGACAATGAAAAATAATATAATATTCATTGATTTTCCTTTTCGCCAATATTTGTTCAAGTAACAAAAACAGTTTCACTTCTTCGGAAAAGTGAAATGATCTATCGATCTTCAATATGTTTGAAATTCTTTAATTTGTTTACTAGTACTCTTAATAAATAATCAAAAGCACGTTCACTAGAATCATCGATTATTTCTTTCCATCATTGCTGTTCCAATTATTGCAAATCAATAGAACTACTTTATGTTGGCAATAGCAATTAGGTCACTTTTTGTAAAAATGCAATTCCCGATCGGTTAGGTGATGTTTTATTTTGAAGGTGCTTTTAGGCGTTCTAAAATTGTCTCCTTCTGTATCGAATAACCTATTATTCTCGCTTCGCTTTAGAATTATTGATGAGAGCAAACCTAAGGTAGTATAGGACTCAATATTGAATCAAGTTATTTGGCAATAAGAAAGTTACAATTGTACTAAAGAGTTCGAAATATTGTAAAACAGACTTGTTTATACTATGAGGAATAACAGTATATTCTTCAACGTAAGTTTTTAATGATATATTTCATTATCTAATTATTTACTTGTTGTTTTTTGTGTCTCATTTAATCATAAAATGTTCTTTAACTAAAATATAATTTCTCTTTGGGTATAAGTCGCATTCGAATATATATACCGTAGATACACGCCTATAAGTCGGATTTTTGGGAGTTAAATTTTGGTCTTAAAATCGATGTTCGACTTATAGGCGAGTCATAGAGAGATTGGTATTTTTCTGGATACTGGAATGTCCGATAATTATTGAACAAAATGTCTGGATATATACAGTGTATATGATAATTTATGTATTCTTAGATTAAACGTAAAGTACAAGTATCTACATATTTTTATATATTTTATATCTTAAGTGAGCATTACTTTTTTGCTTAATGATATGAAATTAAATAACTTCATTAAAAAACACTTATTGAAACCAGGAAAAAACATTAATTGATTAACTTGAAATTGTCACTCGATTTTGGCAAAATATTGTACCGATTTATAAGTGGGTCACTGGCAAATCCCTCCAAAATAACGTCAAAAAATACAACAGACTTATAGGCGGACGGACTTATAGGCGAGTATATACGGTATTTATTTGCCTACTGTAAGTGAGTGTCATGGGAATCGATATTGAATATCTTTATCGATGAACTAATATGTCAATTAATACAACAGAGATGATTTTTCCTAAAATGATATAAACTGTAGTTAAAAGGGAAAAGAAAACGTCAAATATCATCAAATTGGAAAGAGAATTTTGTAAGGAAGCTTAAGAATAATATAGTCACAAAACTATAGAGCTGTAATGACTGTGTACCATTTAAAAAAATGTCATTCAATATACATGAATAGTAATTAAATTATCAAACAATTAGAAATGCGTCCATGTGCTTTAATCAGTGTGTTCTCTTATCTTTCCTAACACGTTATGATCTGAGACAATTTTGAAATACATATTGAACTGATCAATAGATGCATGTACCCTTGTAATGTAATCAATGATGCTTAACATTGCACACATTTCAAACAATTGAGACAAATAAATTTCAAAATAACAAACTTGGATCATTTGTTTGGTGTTGAATATAAATAATCTTTGTAAAAACGAATTTTCGGATTTATTTTACTTCATGGTAAGGTTTCATAGTAAATAAATTGTTATTTTAATTTGTAAGGAATATTTTTTATTAAATGTGTATCTAAAAATCGAGGAGTGTAGTTTGGGTAGAAAAAATATATTTCTTTTTTGACCAGTAATATAAGAGTATTGTTTTGGTTTTCGTAAGATAAAAGATATGGTCACACATGAATATTTAACACTTTCTAAAAGTATCGATCATTAATTATTCGAAGATCGTTAAAGGGCTAAATTAAAGTAAGAGATAACTGTATATAATTTTTAGCATATTTTTTCAAATACAATTTATCATTTTTATCATTTACAGTATTCGCTTAGCTTAAAGATCATCAAATTTGGTATTAAAAAAGTCTAAACAAAAAGTATATTTTTGTACATGATATACGTGATATGCGCCATTTTGGAACAGAACCATGAATGATTCACAAATAAGTTATTACAATTATATACTATAATGTAATACTTCGGGACATTGAAAAATATTCGAATGTAAACAATGAAAGGCGGTTCACTCTTTACCACGAAAATGTTTTGGTTTTTTTTTTGGTATAAAAAAAAAACAAAACAAAAAAGAAAAAAAAAAAAAAAAACAACAACAAAACAAAACAAAAAGAAAAAACCAACAATGTACTGATGAGCAATCTACTGGTGAACAATCGTGTACAAGGACAAAAATTTATGGCTGAGATTGGGATTATGTATATGGAAAAATGAAATAAAATAAGAAACAGTATATTTTTACAGTAAGTAACCTGCTTCAATAATATAATAAGAATTCTTACTATTCCTTTTGTAAACCATGGACCTTTAAATGTGGCCATTGTTCAATAATTGATTAAATATATATTATGATAATTTAAATCTATTTATACTCAAGTCACACAATGCAATCTGACCTTGTTTATTTCCACATACCGAAATACAGCGGCGACCATTTTGGAAAGGCGTGGCACATCTGTATAGAGAAAACAAAATGACTCAGAAAGATTGTGGTAATTAATTTGTGTTGGATATTTTAAGCAGAGCTTAAAAAAGCAATTTAATTAATTTCAAAAATAAATTCTAAGGAATCGATAATAATTACGCTAACCATAACAACTTGTAAAACGAGGATATTCTACTCATGGGGTCTCAGTTTACTAGATTATTAAAAGAAATTTTGCATCGAAAAAAGCAAAGAAAATTATGTTACATATTTTTTTTTCATACCATTGATATAAATAATACGAGCATTGCATATCAAATGCAGCAATTTTCCTTGTTTCCTGTATTTATGTTTCGCCTTTCTTGAGTATATATAATATATTTGGATGTTAGGTTTGTTAAGATTCTAGAAAAACAAGTTGGTTCTTTTTAAAACAAAATCATAGAAAAAAAATAATTGTAAGACATTGAATATGTTGGATGTCAATAAATTATGAAAACAATCGTTTTCAAATGGATGACTTCCATATCCATCCCTGTGTGTATAGCACTGGTCAAGTGTTCATTTAATTTTAACATTTTTTAAATACAGAAATAATACTTATTATTAAAATGCAACAGTTCACAAGCTAGATTTTTACCATTCATATATTTCAAAGGTGACAGTATTGCCAATATTTAACTTACTTAAGCCTGGGCTACAATCCTTTAATATACATGGTGCCAATATTTATGAAATTATATGAAAGGCTAACCGTTTAAAGAAAATAAGTCAAATGTCCATTTCTCAAAGGTTTTTCAAAATGTTGCTCTTTTCGTCATGAACATATATCAATCAATATAAATTTTACAAATTACATTTCCTGAAGATA